CTTTCTTGAACACCAAGTAAAAGGATAAGCAATTAAATACTTGTGGAGACCATAGATATCAATTGTTTTTAAATCCTCAAAGAACTCCAAACATCTTTTTAGAGACAAAAAATTCTTCCTTTATGACAAATACTTTCAAACCTTGATCACACAATAATCATCAGTCCTTTAGTAAGAAGACCACTTAACAAAAACTATACTTTCCATCCTACATTCTTTATACATCCAATATCCTTAAACTTCCCTTGTAGCATCATCAATGAAGTAATAGTTGATTAGAATGATACTTAAACAAACCACCAGAACCACTTTCACTGCAGTTAAGTGTCTAGAAATGTCAGTGTCAAGATACCAATCATCTTAGTTGAAATTCTAAGAGGGTGTGATGAATAAGACAATTATCACATTACCTGAGTATTAACCACTGCTTGGTTAACCCATGCTGAACTTGACCTTTTAGAAAGTAACGAAAACTATTAAGATTAACTTTTCACATAAGAAACATCTTCAGTGCGAGTAAATGCCTTTAACTTGAGCATTCTGATGTCTAGCACCATGTTGAGACATTAATATTGAAATCCTTGACACGGCTTGCCTTTTGATAATAACAACCTTTTGTCACTTGAGTGTTCTCTTTTCCAGTTATAGCTTTAAAACTCTAACCCTTTTAGCCTCCCAATTATCTTTCTACTTAAGGAACCTTCTTCAACATAACTAAATTATCCTTACAGGCTTGATCTTTGATATCAAGTTTTAGGATTAATAGAGTTACCTCATCTTACAAGTAATAGATGGTAGGCAATCCTTCATTCTCTTAAGACATAAGATCATAAATAAATCACATTTTATTTCTTCATGGTTGATAACACTTTTTATTCTAGATACACAGATCTTTAAATAAAACATCCAGCATATCATGTGATTATTCTTCAAAACAGAAATCTTCATTAGAAGTCCATCTTCCAGTCAAACCAAGAATAGAAAACCCATACAGTTATTCTAGAAATAAGTAGGGCATTCTGCTTCACAAAGATCTAAGGTCTTCACACTCCTAGGAATGCTTAGACATTGATGTATACACCAGTTCCAGTCTTTTCTTTAGCATCACAGTCTTGTCGAATTCAACACAGATGTTATGACATGTGGTCACGATATATTGTCTAATATCTCCAACACCTGATTGGATTGTCTTCCAAGGAACATAATAGTAGTAAGAAACCTTACATTAGAGACCAAGGCAAAAATTCCCAAAAGTTTGAAACAAAAGAATGCTCTTGTTGTCCTTCAATAAATTGTCACTTCCATGTCAAACCACTTGATTAGCAACCTGAGAAACCTTCTTCTTGATCATCCTCACATATGAATTATTTTCATCCACACACACTTAGACGTGCCTTTATGAATGGACTTGAGAAATTCCTAAGTATCTTTGGCTACAACACTAGTGATGTAGAGAATCTACCAATTCCATATACCATAAAGTGGATAATTTCATAGTGGCAAAGAGCCAACTCAAACTCTTCCCTTCTATCTCTTCAGTACCAAAATTCTCATATCTTGATAATTCTTAAAGACTAAAATGTCCATTGATCAACTAGAAACAATCATTCAAGCCTTCCAATAAGAACAGTAGTACCCAAAAATTACTCATTGAAGCTCACCCAATTGACTAGAGTGTCTGCTCTGATATCAATTGAAATTTCTCTAGTACAAGCAACACATGTTAATATTGATGTCCTAACATCAGAACAATGTCATTGTAGATGTTATAACATCTATTGACAAACTGAAAATATTCATCAAGTTATAACAGATATTGAAACCTAAACTACAGAATGATAAATAACACATAAAGTTGTTAACCCAGTTTTATGCTGCATCACCTACATTTAGGGGCTACCAAACTAGGAAGGAAGTCCGCTATTAGCAGTATTAATTTAAAGCCTAAACAGTCTCAGTTTACAGCTTCTCTAATAATCCCTACCCAATGCAACTTCTACCTAGGAACCTCTGAAATATGAGAAATCATCATCTCACTTCCTAAATCATCTCAGTGATATCTAACAGTCTCAATCCCAGTGGTTGTATCAAGAATAACTCAACAAGAAGATCACACTTCCATTACAATACTTAGCCAAGACTCTTGACTAAGAACAATATTTGGATTTTCTTAAAAACTTCATTTAAGAACAATAGTCAACTCATTGCCTAAAGGATTCTGAGTGAGAACATAATGTCGACCACAAGTATCAAAAGATACAAGGGTCACTTACACCATACAATACAAAAGAGACTCTCAAAATCTAAGACTATTTTTCCTTCCCATTATTTTACAATTGAAAATTTTAATTACATTAGGTTAGGTTCCCCCTTTAAATAAACCTCTGTAGTCCATGTGCTTCAAAATATGGGTCCAGAAGTTTCTTGATCCATAACCTGAGTGATGCACCAATTGTGCAGCAAAATCTCCTTAAATCTTGGAACAAACAATACAAAGTTTCCTAAATTGTCTCAAGGCCCAATTTAGTAACTAATGTACAACTGGAGATACAAATTTTGTTCCAGATTAAATCTTCTTGACCTGCAAAATTTACTGAGATATATCCAAAAGAAATATTACATAATCAAATCAAATCTGCCAAGATTTAAAACACAGCGCCTGCTGTACCAGACCCAGATGTCGTGACATTTACTTCAACGTCTGGTTGAAAAAATAGATAACAGTAAAATAGTTATCACAGTTGATAAGAATGTTGTAACATCTTAATCAATATCAGTAGAACCATATTTTAGCAAAATTATATCAATCCTAAAACTATGGAACTAACAACACCTTCAGAAACGCAACCTTAAGATAGTACATGGGCCTACCTCGACTCTTGGTCATTAGCTATGAGAACTTGGTAAAAAACCGGACCACCAATCTGAAGCAAGTAGGAACAAAAGGATGTTTGCCACCAGTCTTTTTAATATTCTTCAAGGTTATTCTAAATCTCTAATGGAATATCTCACTCGCTTCAATCAGGTGACGATAAAGGTCGTCTACCCTCAACCATGAGATATTCGTAGGAGCATTTTAAAATGGACTATGAGCCACTTTAATGAATCTCTTTCTCAGAGACCTGTGACTTTCTTGGCTTAGGTGGTGACACGTGCAAAATGATGTATAAAGGATGAGGAAATAAATGTTAAAAAGAAAGCCGTAAATGTCAAAGAGTGTATGGTTAGTAACCCTGACATCTCACAATAGCCACAAAAAAATCACTACACCTCGAGCATCAGATATAGGGTGGTGTTCAAGTGAAGCGGAAAATCTGTAAAGAGTTTCACGCCTTTGAACACTCGATGTTAACAAATATGTCGAGAATTTCATGACATTCCACAACCACTAGCGTTTAAGTCAGATGTAATTGGACCTGAGCCTAGCAGATGGTGCAAATTTAACAAGGTCAATAGACACCACACCAAATATTTATATCAACTCAAGAAAGAGATAAAGTGTTTCATCCAAGAAGGTCATCCTAAGAAATATGTCAGGGGTAACTCCACCCAAATGTCAGATGGATCCAGCTTTCGTGGGCAAGATGATTATGGAAGTCTCAAGTCTAAAAAGAGCAAGGAACGATTTCGGCCTGCAAAAGGTATGTTTGCCAAGTCCTAACCATCGAAGGTGTTCCATCTAATTCTGATTTTGGCGACATGGAAGCTCTGGAGATTGAGATCACCTTCTTTGACAAGGATGTTGCAGGCACCCACCCACGTGATAATAACCATATGGTCATAGTTGTAAGGTGTGACGGATGAGATATTAAGAGGGTACTGATTGATCAGAGAAGCTTTGTATAGATCCCCTATTGGGGCGCCTTTGAAAGACTTCACTTAGACTTGGATGACCTCGAATCTTTCCAAGGATCATTAATAGGGTTCTCAAATGAGCAAGTACGGATACTCTAGTGGAACGCGTATCCTTCATTATATCTCATTCATCTCTTATGTCTTTGTATATCATTCCCTATCTCTCTCTTATCCTTCTCCTCCTCATTTTCTCTCATATGCATCCATATCATCTCCTCATATATGCTCGTACTGTTGTTGTCTCCTTCCTTTTCTCCATGTCCACCAAATTCCTTCGATAAAGAAGTTATGTCATATACCATGAATCTCATTTTTTTATCCAAACATTTCTTCTATCCTATGTCAAAAAAATTCAACATGATTAAACCCAAAGTGTAACCTAAGATTTATAGAATCCCTACAATCACCCACACAATGAAGGAAAGCATCTTCTTAGAGGTCACATCTAGAGTGTATAGTTAATGATGGCATGTTGTGATGGTGAATAAGAGATATAGTAGGATCAGAGTTGTGCAAGTGATCCAAAAGAGGAACTAAGATTGAATTTCACTATTAAGATTAGGGGTGGACAACGATGGGCTTCGGATGGATTCAAATCAAAAATCTTCCACCGACCAAGACCGACGAATGTATTATTACAACCCATTTTCGTCTAGTTTACTGATTGGTTTCAGCGGATTCGGTTCTCTCGAATGACAGGTTAGACGGGTGGGTTAATTCAAGTGGCATCCGACAAAGATAAATCAAAGATAAAATTAAAATTAAAATTAATCAAGATAAATGAATTCAGGTCTAAAATAATTTCAACGAAAAATGAATACATTTAGAATGCATGACATCATTTGAGAAGATCTTAATAAAGGAGAAGATTAGCATTATTGTTTCTTGTTGTTAGTGTTTCTTTTTGTTAGCAAGTAGTTGTAGTGAATATAATCCTAGGTATGTTGACATAACATAAAAAATGGTGGAAGAGAAAGCTATAATGGATATTGGCTAGTCATATGATAACAACAACATAGTTAAAATAATGTTAAAAATGGTGAGAAATAGGAAATGGTATTTGTGTGTGTAAAATAAAAGAAAAGAGCAATTTATAATAAACTAAACCCTAAATCAAGGAATAAGGGGAAAACGGAGAACATAATTCAAGAACTAGTAAATTTGGTAACGGCCTTGGTACCCTCAGAAACAGCGTGCTTAGCCAATTCACCAGGAAGAACCAATCTAACAGCGGTTTGAATTTCCCGAGAAGTAATCGTCGGCTTCTTGTTATACCTAGCCAAACGAGACGATTCTTGAGCGAGTTTCTCAAAAATATCGTTGATGAAACTGTTCATGATTCCCATAGCCTTGCTTGAAATACCAATATCGGGATGAACCTGCTTCAAAACCTTGAAGATGTAAATCTTGTAGGTTTCAACGCTCTTCTTGGTTCTCTTCTTCTTCTTGTCGGATGCTCCTTCCTTTGAGATCTTCTTCTCTGCCTTGGGTTTCTTCTCGGCGGGAGTCTTCTCGGCGGCGGGTTTCTTCTCGGCGGGTTTCTTCTCGGCTTTTGTGGGAGCCATTGATGAAATTGGTTTTGGTTGGAATGAGAATGCGTTGGTTGTGGAAGCGAGAGTGATGAATGATTTGTGAGGAATGGTGAGAATTTATTTATAGGGTTGAGAAAGGGGTTTTGATTGGAACAAGTGATATGGCGCGGATTGATGACGTGGAGTTTTGGGTTTCGTTAATTGAGATTTGTTTGATTGACGGTGGAGATTGCACCTTTTTATTTTTGAAGGATTCGTCATCATACGGGACCTGTGTGTTTGTAAACTTACTTGGACTGGGCTAAGCTTGTTAAGCCTTACCATTCTAATTTCCTATTTCTAATGTTTTACATATTAAAATGACTAGTTGTAATTAAATTAATATTTTATATTATTATTATAATAATAATAATAATGATAAATAATAATATTAATAATAAATATCTCGTAAAAATAAATATAACAAAAGTATATATTTAAAAAAATATATTATTATGTTTAATTAGGCTTGAAATCGTAATGGACTTTGAAATTGGACATTGATGCTATTTAAGTAGCAACTCTTCTTTTTATAGACTCGGTCTTTGAGAATCAAACAAGACGTGTTTAGTTATTTGAGTATTTTTGTTTTGTTTTGTGTTGTCATACTTTATTCATAAGTATTGTTCCTATGTTAAGGAATAAAGTATTTTGAGTTGTAAATCATTTTATCATTCTTAATAAGATTGTAATTGTCCAGAATTTGGGAGAGTGTTTGAGAGAAATTGAGAGGGGTCTTATATTCAATAGGAGTTCTAAATAGGAATTCACTGGTAGTATTAGGAAAAAAGGCATTGAACTAGGATAGTTCAAATCTCACCAATTTATACTTTTGACTATTAAAAGTGAATTTTATTTATTGAATTAACGCCCTCCGGATGTGGGTGACATTGTTTTAAACTGAGTTAACAATTCCTTGTGTCATTTTACTTATCATTATTATTTTACTGCTTACGTTCTAGTCTTGTCGTACACATTGTTACAATATTGTGTCTAACATTTTGGCATTAGGCAAATAGAATTTTAATTGGTATCATAGCAGACACCTTGTTCTGGTTAGATGAGCTCTAGAGGATTTATACATTCTGCTCAAAATAGGCAATGTTAAAGAAGAAGGATTTGTAAATCGTCCACCTAATCTAGATGGTGCAAACTATGATTATTGGAAAGCTTGTAGGTTGATTTCCTCAAGTCAATGGATAAAAAAACATGGAAAGCAATCATCAAAGGATGGACACCCCCGATGTTTACCACACAAGATGCCATACAATACCTGAAGTCACAAGAAGATTGGTCTAAAGAGGGAGATGAAGAAGCTCATGGCATCTTTCATCCTCTCGAATTCATTTTCAATGGAGTTGACAAAAACATCTTTAGACTCATCAATATGTGTTCCATTGCCAAATAAGCATGGGAAACTCTCGAGATTGTTCATGAAGGCGCCACCAAAGTTTCCATGTCAAGACTTTAACTTCTCACTACCAAATTTGAAAACTCAGGGATGAAAGAAGGTGAAATAATTATTGATTTCAATGTTAGACTATGTGACATAACCAATAACTTATTTTCCCTTGGTGAAAAAATATCTAAAGAAAAGCTGGGCAAAAAATTCTAAGATCTCTTCCAAAGAGGTTTGACATGAAAGTTACAACTCTTTCATCATTTTATTGTTGAGATTGGAACCATTATCAATGATGATTTTATTAGGAATCCCATAACAGCATATGATTTCTTTTTTGATGAAGCGGGTGATGACTTGCATTGTTACATTCTTACAAGAAGTTGCTTCAACCCATTTGGTGAAGTAGTTGATAACAACGAGAATGAACTTGTGTACATTTGAAGCGCTTCGCTCAATTCATCCAATCATATCAATGCCTCACATTGCAAATGGTCATGGTGAAGTCAATACATTCAAAGTAGTTGGAGGGACATGGATTTTGTCTGCATAAACTTGGCATTTGTGACACATCTTCGGATACACACAACAGTCACTTTCCATCGTCATCCAAAAATACCCTGCTCATAGAATTTTCTTGGCCATAACATACCCACTGGCATGATTCTTAAAGGAGCCTTCCTGGATTACTCGTCTGATCGACTCTTCTTCGTGCCTATCCACGTATTTAAGTAGAACTGAATCATAGTTTCTTTTGTACAGAACATCTTCTGACAAAAAGAACTTGGATGCTAACCTTCTACGCATTTGCTTATAACAAATTGTAGCACCTTTAAGATACTCTTGCTTATCAAGATACATTTTGATGTTGAAATACCACGACTTTTCATCATATATGTCTTCACTTGTGAGACAATGAGCAGGAAAGACATGTGATGGCTCTTTGCAACGAAGAATTCTTATATCGAGTGTGTGATTCAGATAGTTGACTTTGAACATTGCTTCCAGAGTAGATAAAGCATCTGTCAATTGATTTTCTTCTATGAGAATTTGCTCAAAGGTGATCTCATCAAAAGCGGGCAACAACTCCAATATATAATCCATGCAGGGTATTGAGTTAGGGTGTTGTGTATCCCAATCACCTTGCACTTGGTGTATGACTAAGGCAGAACCCCCATAAACTTTGAGAATTTTGATCTTCAAATCAATGGCTGCTTTAAGGCCCGTTACACAAGCTTCGTATTCTACAACATTATTCCTGCAATCAAAGCATAGCCGATAACACCAAAACACAATGCATATTTGAATCGATTTGTTGTACCCCAAAATTTGCCCTCCCATTTCATCAATATTTTCTCACCACAAGACCCTTGAAGCTCAAGATCAAGTTAGGGTTTGCTCTGCTCAAGACTCCTCCTTGCACTGTTGACCCAAATTAGGGTTTGTGTTTGCACAAAGATGTTTTGACCTAAAATGCCTAAGATGACTTTCATGCTTCATGTTGGACTCACAAGTTTATCCATACCAAGTTGCAAGCCTTGATTCCAATCTTTGCCCAGTCAATGGGACAGTTGACCTAGAAATCAGCTGTATTAGGGAGAAAAGTCAACTGTGGTCAATTGACAGTCAAACCTCATGATTTTTGACCCTCATCAACATTATGAACTCATATGAATCATTTGGTCAAGTTTGGATCACAATTCCACAAGAAATTTGATCAGATCACCAAAAGGGCAAAATGGTCATTTTTAGGGTTTTGACTGCACAAAGGCAATTTTTGACTGTTTGACCTGGCCAATAGAAAACCAAGCTCACATATGGACTCAAGAACTCAATGACATGGTATTGACACATTCAACAAAGTTCAAAAGATCCCAAATGCACAAGATTGACAGATGAATTTTCCAGTCAACTGATCCAAATTTGACTGTATACTGAAAAGTCAAACTTTGACTTTTTTGGTCAAAATCAAGTGTCAAGATTCATTTTTCATCAAGACATGTCAAATTATGAAACTTGTTCATCAAGAAATCAAAAATCACAAATTAGGGTTTGAAATGAAGAAATTTCATAACTTAGAAATTTTCTAAGTTATGAAATTCCCTAATTTTTTCCTAACTTTGTCCCTTTTTTTCATCAAGATACATTTGGATTCAAACAAAACTCAAAACATGAAAGTTGTATTCTATTGCAAAATATACAACTTTTATTCACAAAGTTTCCTCAAAAGAAGCTTGTAGCTCAAGTTATGATTTTTGGAATAGGGGTGCAAAACATTCTTAACTTAGAAATTTTTTGACCTATTTTAGGCAGGATTTTTGCCCAACTTCATGGCCACTTTTCACATGCTTCCACTTGGAATTTCAACTTGCATTAAAAAGATGGATTTTAGTACACATTCCAAGCTTTCCAAATTGTCCAAGAACTTCTCAAACACCCTTGTGGTTAGGGAGAATCGAATTTGTCAATATGGGCAAAAGTCACTTTGTTCATGAGCCAATTACATGTTCATAACTTTGCATTTTCAAACTCAGCATGGTTCAAGCTAGGTTACAGGCCTCTAATCCCTTTCTTACTAAATAATTCAATGCTAAACCATTGTGTCAAGTTGTTATTTCGTTCATTTGGGCAATACATGTTAGATTAATCCATAATTAGAAAAAGCATTTTATCCATTCTTGTAAAGAAGCACTTTATGTCAAATACAAATCCAAGAGGCATGGGCAAGATCTTGAGAGCTAGCATTTTGTACACAAATCACTCTGATCAAGAACAAGGAGTGCAACATAGTTTAGGGCATTGGACAGGCTTGTATAGAAACTCACATTTCCTTACTTATCAAAGAAGAAAACTAGCACATTGGACCACAACTTACATTCCTGGAAGCAAGAACAAAAGCAAACTTGGTCCACACATTCCATACTCCCTGACTAACCTGAAGCACGACCAAACCATCCCCAATACCTCCTCATCCATCAAAGCCCATTTTTTCTGCAAAACAGAGTCCATGTTGCAGATTGACTTGGCCAGTTCATTTCCATCGTGCATTTTCATCCAAGCCACCTCAAACACCTTCCATAACATCCATACAAACTATCCCAAGCCTTGGAAACAGACTGTAACACCTCTAACCAAGTTTGCCATTTTCACTTTTCTCTCTTGCAGGTTGACTTCTGTAGCTTGATACATCAAGATTCAAAGCACACCAAGCATTGGAGAAGCATCCCTGAACTTCAAGCAAGCTGTACAAGTCCTCACACTGCATTGGAAGTGCCTCCATTGTTGCACACGATTCAAGCTGAACAGGTAAAAGTTTGAACTTCTATCTCTCTATCCAAGCATATCTAGGCTTAGGTTTGTTAAGAAGTTATGTCCTATTCATGGCCCTGAAGCTACCCATATCCTCACTTTCCATTTATATTGTGTGTGCTGAGAGAATTTAAGACATGAACATTGAACAAAAGTTAGGTCAGGAATTGGGGGAGGAGAAATTCTCTCTCATTTCTGAGAGTTAGATCAAGTTCTTGGTATGTATGGATTCGTGATTTGATGCTTTATATTTTTGGTGTTATAAGTTTGTGCTAAAAATCAAAGA